TTGAGAAAAATACTTCTTGTCCCTAGTTTAACATGTTCTAAAAGCATTCAATTCCCTATACCAAGCAACTGCCAGTGTCTTTAAAAGCCTTGCCTTTCAAATTCTCATCCAAGACATCCAATGATATGATCTGCAGTCTACCCACTTGTACCAATTGTAAGTAGCAGGGGATGGAGGCAGTGCTGCGTAGGAGGTTGCCAAGGATTGCCCTGCACTGGTCATGCTCACAGCCAGCTCAGTAATGGACAAAATGGACCCAATGTGCATCAAAACAGAGGAGCACACAGCACCTTTGCAAAACTGTACTGAAAGAATGTTAAATGTCAAAAGGACGGATGCTCAGGGGGAGATGTCAGAGCAGGAGGGATGATAAGACACAGCATAAGGCACGACATGAGGACAGGAGACCAGAAAGTGGGAAGCAGAAAAGTCAAGGTATGTTTCTCTGATCATGTTGGTTGTTGTTTTTTTCTTTTTCATTTTACAGAGAAAGAATCAGTAATAAAAAACTTGTTAACTGGCATTAAATTGATTGCAACTCCCCAGCTCAAAACAGTTTTGTTGGCCTGTGATGCTCCCTGTGTCTGTTCTTAAAAAAGAAACAGCTTAATTGCCTCTATCACCATCTGAAGCTTGAACTCTGTGGTCTGGTATTTATTGCCTAAAGCCACTAAGCCCTCCCCTCCAGTGAGATCAATGGCAAATGGGCTCCCCACTTCTCCACATAAAATAAAATAGCTGCCAACGTAACTTCAGAGCACTGCTTGTACAAGCAACTGGGATGCAAGGAATGCATGGAATTTCACTGCTGGGAACACGGGAAGCCACCAGGCATGGTGGGATTGCACTTGCCTTTACTCTTGGGACTTGAATATTCATGCCCTGGTGTGAACTAAGTGGTACATTAAGAAAAAAAAAATGCCCCAAACAAACAAAAGCCCACAAAAACTTCAGCCAGCAGGCAGTGCCTGAACTGGTTGCTCTTTGGGTACTTTTGTTTCTCTCAGTGTCAGCGCGCAATACCAGAACTGCAATTTGAAACCTAAGATTATAAAGAAATTTAGAAAGTGCAGAACAAGCGATATGATACATTCGTCAATAAAAGCATAATTGTTCTATCGCTGTCTTGGGTTAAAAAGTAATAAAAGTAATAAATGTTTACAGGATATTTCACATACCATCGGATCTTTTTTGTGTCAAGCGGTAGCGGCTAAATCCCCAACCTAAGACTACCTTCCACATCCATCACAAGGAAAAAGAAACTCTGCTCCAAAGACCTCTAATTCAAACAATCACGGCAGACAAGAGGAATGTTCTTATCCTCATTTTACAGATTAACTAACACAGGGAGAGATCAAATTACTTCCCCAAGGTCACCTTAGGAAGTCTCTAAGACAGAACTGCTCTGTAGTTTAGCACCTTAACGACAAGAACACTACACATATTTATAAAATGCCTTTTTCTGTGGCTCCTCCAAGCTAGCACTGACTTAATCATAACAAAACCCCAAACACCTAGCACCTAAAGTAAACTGTCAAGCAGGAGAAAATGTAAAGCAAAGCAAACCAAAGAAAACAAAACTGCCCAATCCTCCCTGACAAAGTGTAAACACACAATCTTGTCAGATGCTCCAAAAGCAACAAGCATGGAGGCTTTCCCAGGTCACCTGGGGATAAAAGTTCTAAAACCATGAGTTCAGATCGAGACTGTTTTTCATCACCACCCACAACACAAAGACAGCACCAGGACCCAGATCCCATTGTTAAACGTTCTCTTCATTCACACTGGAAATAAATGTTGAGACTGCAAATAAACAGAGAGATGGAAAGACTGATCCAGACAGAGAACACACTGAAATTAACAGAGGTAGCATTTAGCATGCTCTTCAAGTACAGTTCCCACTGAAAGCAGCCCAATTTATTTCAAGGGAAACAAGAAGAATAAAAGCTGCTCGGTGACTTGTGGTTTAGGAGATATGTGAGTGGAAGAGAGGGCAAGACTGGAGCTACTGCTAGCAGAAAAACAGCCCTCTTGGTCATAACCTTAAGGGTTATCAATAACATGCTTTATCAGTGGTATGAAAAAAAAAAAAAAAAAAAAAAAGAAATAAGTCTCTCTGCAAGACTTAATTAGATCAGAAGCCATATCATACAGGAAATGTTAAAATTTTGGTGAACTTTGTGTTGTCCTCTGGGAAGCCCTACTATTTTACCTACTATTTTACTAACTGTATATCTACAGAAACATTTGTGAGAAGCTGCAAATGTGACCTAGCTTACTGCAGCCTGGTACCCAGCAGGTGCAGGCACCTACCCTTCAACAGGAACAGAACACCCTGAACAGAAATCATAGGCCTCTGACTACTTCCACAACCCTAAAAGACGTCAGCCCTTCCTCTTTTCTCTCTGATCCATCCAAGCATGGAGAAGCTTGGCACAAATAGATGTTACTCCACTTCCATATGTTGTTTCATCTACGACCCAATCCAAGAGTTCATCAGATAAAGAACTGATTCCAGTACCCACAGACCAGGTGGTGAGGGCTAGGTCAGGAAATCAAGAATCAGGGCTAAATCCTCAGTTACTGTGATGGAACAGAGGTACAAATGAAGCTCTGGATAACACACCCAGCCACGTGGCTGGCAGATGCAAAATTCAGTCATCAGCTGAAGCGTTCAGAATGCTGATCATTCAATAAACAGCAGAAGACAGTTAACAACAAGATACAGATATGCATAGTAAACTTCCCTTCTGTTGCAGGATAGAAAAAGAGTAAGTTGGCTGCAAGACAATGACAATAATTTTATCTAAATAACTAGATAATTAATAAGGGCTCATAATTGGACAAGAGTAAATAACAGTCAGAGGAATTAAAATGTGGCATCAGTCAAACATCCGTCATTTAGGAAGCGCCATTTGGTGTCAGCAGAAAACACCCTGGCCTCAGGATTTTTTTTGCTGCTATGCGAATTGACCAGGCAGACACTGAAATCATTCCACAATATGAGCATAATGAAGCATGCTAATTCGCTAAAAACTGTTACTAACCACTTCACACTTCAGTGAATTGGGATTCCATTTTTCTAGTTGAAACCAGCCCCTCCAGTGCCTCGATAACGTGTCAACCAAGTGATACAGGACTGAACGCATTTTTAGCTTGTTAAAAAACAAGAATTTCTTCAGTGGCTGGAAGAGAGCCATGGTACCAAACTGCCCTGCATTTCGCAAGCACATCACTCCAGAGAATGATATCTGTAGCAGCTTAAAAGTACAAATGGTATTAACATCTCTCATTTTGCAGTAATGATGTATGAACTATCAGTAACTGTACCACAAAATTAAAAGCAATTAAAAAGCAAAAAACAGACTGTTTTGGTCTACGACCTGTGCAAACAGAAGACAAATTTTTATACCCAACATCAATATTACTAGCTATTCAATTGGTGGGGAGGATGATGAGGATAATTGGTTGTGGGAAACAGATCAATTTAAATACAAGACTTTGCTGTTGTCAGCTTTTTCCACTCAGTATTTTGCTTCCTTTTTTCTTTAAATGAAAATGAGGCTTGTTTTAATTTCCTTACAGCTACATCACAACTTTCACCTGTGAATACTATTTACAGATTAATTCCAGGAGTTGAACCAACTGCACACGGGCTGGATAGGGAGCAGAAATGTACTGACTGCCGAAACTGCTACACATACATCTACTGAGCGCTTCAAGAACATCAGCAGCCTAATTCCAAAACATATCTTAGAAGACAATCACCAATTATTATAAGCTGAATGCTAATACACTTTCCTGTAAAGATGAGAAGTGTAACTGATCTCAGTGATACCAAATCTTGGAAAGTTACAGCTTCAAGTATTTGGAATGAAACTGCTTCTTAAACCATCCCTTAATGGCTTATAAACACTGGAAGCAGGTCAGCAGCTCACCACTGTAAAAATGATCCTGTAAACCTCCAGTAATGGATCTCAGATCTGCTAAGTAGCCAAATACTACTTACACTTCGCACCAACAAAAGCCATCGGAAGCCTGAAAAATGCTTATGACTACAACTCTCCACCTATCTGATACAACATGGTAGACTACCGAAGATTTTGTCCTACTCACATGTAAACCCAGTGAGGCTAAATTCCCTCAATTTACTTCATTTACAGCATGAAATTATAATGCATGTGTTCAGAGTTGAAAAACTACTCACTCTCATCCAACGTAACGACTTTGTTTCTTACTCAGTTTGAATTCATCACATGTGATCTTTCACAGAACCCTCAGAAAAGTAAACACAGCTCCTGCTCTTCATAAAACAGAGAGTAAGTGTGAATCTGTGACAATGCAATGCTCCCAAAGCATATCCAAGCCCACTGCTCAAATATAATTGTGGATCTATTTCACATCTTCACGATGCAATGAACAGTACTGACTGCTCTTACTGTGAGGAAATATTGCACAATGACACTCAAATTCTTCAGCCAGCTTCTGTAGCAGGCTTAATGTGTTACTTACGGGCAGAATTGAAACACGTGTAATTTACTGCTGCGAAATTCCAACACGATACAAAATTCCCATATAAATCACCTCTTCACTAAAAGGTTAGACATGACCATGTGGTGTCCAGGCTTGCTGAATGTGTTTATCTTAAAAATTAAGCTAACTGCTTTGGCAGTTCAGCTCTTTGAGCTGTGACTAACACAGGTAACAAACCATCAACAGCAAACTTAAGGAGTATCACACAGAAAATCCAGATACATACGCACTTAGAAGGAACCCAGCTGTGCAAACACCTTAGTTCAGGTGTGTTCTGGATTCTACCCTTACAGAAACAGGTACAAAGACAATCAAAGCAACCCACTGCAGTTTTGGCACATCATCTATAGAAAGGAAAGCTGTCGGTGAAGACATGGTTCATTTTAAATGCAAAGGTTTAAACCTCAGGTAATTGTGGCTGGCACATTAGTCCTTTTCAGTTCCAATCTGCCAATAAACAGAATTACCTTTTTCTTTCACCATGGCAAACAAATTTGCCTCGTCGTGGAAGCAGCAAGAATTAGCTGAAGCAATTTAAACAGAACCTCTTCTCCAGCAGCGTTTGGTTGAGGTGAATTTAAAATTAAAAAAAAAAAAAAAAAAAACAGAAAAAAAGAAAGCAGGAGCTTATTCCAGATAATTGTCTTCCTCAGATTTCCTACGAGCGCGGATGCAGTCCTATCGCTCGCCCCGTCTCTTCTTTGTGTGCCTCTTATCTTCTCCCACGGTGGTCTCTTCCTGCAGCTCCTACCCTGCATATGGACTCTGCCCCTTGTGCCGAGCCAGCCCGCTTCAGCTGCTGCTGCGTAACAAATGCTGGATTCCATGGCCGCGGCTCCCGGCGCTGACACCACCTTGCATTCCTCTACCCTCACAGGACTGAGCTGGCAATAATCTGCTCCCAAGCGACTGGCAAAAGGCTGACAGTCAGAAGATGTGGGAGAAAAGAGGGAGCTGCTCAAACACACGCAGAGCTGAAGCGCGTTCTGCGAGGGCTTTTTGATTTTTATTTACTCAAGCTGAGCCAGGATGAGAAAGGGAAATACAAGATGAACACGGGCAAATGCTGAGGCAGGCTGCAGCACAGTGGATTTTCTCTGGTGAGAACTCCATCCACTCCTGGTTTTAATTTAAAACTGTTACCAAACAACAATTACGAGACCACAAGGCATGGTCATAAATAATCTCCTAATGTCCCCTGACCGTGGTACAGAACACAATAACACATACAGTATCCACAAACTGGGAGTGCTTACTACACGAAATAAGAATTAAAATAAAATGAATATCGGAATTGCAAGATCAGTGAGCAACGGGGTTTAGTACCATAGCCCAGCTGGTGTGAGTCAAGTACCGTGTACTCTGAGTCACCAAACACCTGGGAGCTCCAACTCCTCTTCTGTGACTCCTCTGGGGATGACAGCCGTAAGTACTCACGGAATTGAGAAGAAAGAGCAGCATACCAAACCAGCAGCACTGATGAGGTGAAGCTCACCCCCCGCATCTCACCACTGGTGACTCTGGACAACAAACCAACCTTCCAAGCCTTGGTTTAACAGGCACTAAACACTACCAGGGAAGGATTGGCCAGTAATAAGTTGAGGTTAAAAACCATACAAACAAACTCCTTACAATATCAGCAAATCTCACTGTCTTATAGCACAATAGGGAATATTTCTGTTTTTTATTAAAAGGTAACAGCTCAGAGTTAGGTGAGAATTAAAGCTCTATTCTCACAAGCCCATTTTTATTCCCAGTTATGGACAAAAGCTTTGAAATACGATTACTCAGAATCCTGAATGCTCATGAAAAGCACTTAACATGTTTTATTTTTAATACATTTATCCTACCTGTATCAAGTAGCAATACTATTGTATTTATACACTGCTTTTTCCTCGTTTATAAATAACTTTATTCCTCACTGTAGCTGGCCACAAGTGATTTTGCCAACATAAACCTACCCCAGCATGCCTTCCCTTGGGCAGTATATTTTAATACCTGTTTTAGAGGTGGAGAAAATGACAAAGGAAAATGAACTGACTTGCCAAGGACAAAGGTGACCTCAGCAGAAGAGAGCTGGGTTGAATACAAAGCTATTCTGGGCTAGGAGATGGGCAGATTCATTGGCTTACAGCTTCAACTTGACCACAGCTCAGGGCTCTATCTGGTCTAGGTTACATGGAGGAGGAACAAATTACACAGCACCCTAAAGCAAACCCTACGTACAGCCCCGAGTCTGAGGAACCTCTGTTTCTTGAGAAACCTCTAATTTTTAGAATTGGGTCTGACCTGGAACTCACACTTCCATGAGAGAATTCCTTCTCAGTGCAGCTATACGTAGGGAAAGATAAATTGATATAAAGAAACTGGCTGTAGGCACCAGCCAGCCAGAGAACCAGATGGCTGACACATGCTGGAAAAACAGAACATACATCCAGCATTAAAAATATTTTCAGTAAATAAATCCTAAGTGTTTTGTATAAAATGCCACAAGAACAACAGAAAGAAATGAATGAGTCTGCTTCACCCAAAAGATCCATCTTAATCAATGATATTCTTTCATAATTAAATACATAAATTAGAGAGACTGACAGAGATTCATGTATGGAAAAAAGCAGTTATCCCCCAGCAAACCTCGGCTGGCTTTCTATTGTTAGCAGCCCAACATGTAAGCGAGGCGCAGCCCGGCAGTCTGACATCGTTGCTTCTGTGACTCAGAGCTGTTATTAATAGCAGAGCCCCAGCATAGGGCTGGGCTCAGCCCCACCACACAGAATTCACTGTGTCACATTTCTGACCCACACACACACAGTCAGGTTGTAACTCAGCCTGGCTGTGCTCTTCTTCAAGCGGTATTTTGTAAACAGTCAGGGGACTGCAGCTTGGAAAGGCCACATCTGACCTTCATTCATAAATATTTGAGCTGATGTGCAGAGCACAGACTATGCTCTATGTCCACAGATGTTAACTCCTTCCTGAGATCTTCTGACACCCTCCAAAGGGCTGCAATGATTACCATTCTTTTTTTTGTTGTTCCAGCAGCTGCAGACAAAGAATATGACTGCTGGTATCTGGACTTTCTGTCCTCTGAGTTCATTAGTTCCATTTTTCACATGTGTCACAGATTAGCACCGCTGTATCTCATCTTGCCCGTTGCTGAATAGAAGCTTTCATCGCGTCATTCAGCCACGGAAAGTTGCAGTGTTTCACTGCAGCGTGTACACAGCAATAAGTCTCAAAGCACAAACTGCAACATGTTAGGCTGGGCAGTTTAGGAATCAAATGCCACTGACTCTAGCACAAGAAGATATAGAGATCAGATGCTGGTATTCTCAGAAACATCTTTTTAAAGTGGGATCATTTTTTCTTTTAATCTCATTGTTCTACACCTGACACAGACATTTACCTTGCTGCACAATTCAGGACCTACTCATAAATGCTAAACCAGAGAGGAAAGACAGACAGCAACTCCTGAAACACAGCCCTGGTGCTTACTGATACTTAGAGGCACATATTTTGAAGAAACAAAAACATCCTTTTTTCCCTTACAATACTTTTGGCACTCTATAACTTCAGTAGAGTTTCCCTGGAACAAAACCAGGCTGAAATATTCACAATGAGTACAGGATAGCTACACAGCATACTTACATTACTGCTATTTCATGATGAAAAGTAGCCTGCACGTTCACCAAAGGACACGGGGGTCATATTGAGATCACAAAATGAAAGAGTCAACCACTGTGTTTTGCTTTTTCCTGTATGGTGATAATGTTGAAAAAGTACACGTTAAGATACTAAACAGTTCAGTCATGACTTCAGATCTGTTATTTGAAAGTTGCCTTTTGTATTTTTTATCTTGCTCTCATTCTTCATAGATGAGGCCATGGCTTGTGAGTATCAAAACACTGTTCTTATATAACTCCTTAAAAACTGGTATCTTCTGTTAATCCATCAGTGATGGAAACTGCCTGCTAGAAATCACAGAGGGAGAAATTGTAGTCTTAAATAACATCCAGGAAAATATCCTCTAATTAATGTCTTTTTCCTTCCAGCAAAAAGCCTGGCACAGCCCTGACAGCAAAGCCTGCCACAGGCTCGCACAGCTTCACCCCTGTATAGCCTCAGTCAGTTTAAGTCACCACTTCTCCAAAGTGTCAGTGATGCAGCTTTTGCAAAAACAACAATTACTTTGGTTGTTATCCTGACTTTGCCCACTCAGGAAAAACGAAGTTGTCAACATGAGACCTCTTGCAATCCTGCAGTGGTCCCTCTGTCCTGATGTGGAAGAACATAGTTGTCAGTTTCAACACCTGAATGCTATACAAAGTATTTCCTGACTTCTGTTCCCCTTGGACACAGTCCAGTCCAGCAGCCTGTTCTTTTGATGTGTCTTCCTCAGCCACTTGGACAACTGACACATTTTCCAACCTTTAAAGCAGCACAAGCAGCGATGCTTGTGAAGGACTCCAGCACAGAAGAAAGCAGACGACTGACTTGGGCAAAGCTGATGATTTCAGTGGAGTTTTTCAGACACAGAGCTGAGCAGAACTCAGCTTGCACATGAAAAAACTATTCCCATACATACATCTGAATAGCTGGGTGTTCATTCCCAGGTGTTTGGTAGACTGCTTCATTCGCATTGCTCTCTCCAGGTTCAACCCCACCTCCTCCCCCCATAGCTCTGCTTAGAGCCTAGTGACAGTAAGGCTAACCCTCAGACAATTAAAGCCCAATGGGCTGGGTCCTATCCCTAAGTTTTCCACTATTCTTTTCTTTGCCATCAACACCACAGTATTTTGAACTGAAAGCACTCTGTAATACTGGCATTTACAATCCTGTGCCATCATTCTTTTATAGTAATGAAAATAAACAAGAAGTTGCCAAATGCATCACCTGACCTATCACAGCAGTGTATTTCATTCTGATCTGAGCTGATATGACAATTTATTTCTTTTTAAGTGCAAACATTTAACACTCTTAAAAACTAGATTCCTCAGGAATTAGGTGCTTCGCAGGCTTTGATCTAGTAAGTATGCCAGGTTTCTTAAAACAAAATTTGATTTTCTGAGGTTCTTGCAAGCAAGACCTTCTCAGTAGGCTGCTATTATGCTAAACAGAATAGCAAAAAATATAGATAAACAGAAAACTGGTGATGTTTTATTTACTGCAAGACAAAATAAGGAAACAGTCACTCATCTTTAATCTGTAAACATTAAGAAGCCTCTAACGCACAAGCTTATGTAAACAGCACCTGGAACCTCCACATCATCTCTTTAAAAACAGATGAGGAAAGCTGGCTACGTTATACCTCTCTGCAGTGGCTCCAAAACCATACAAAGCTCACTGCTGGATACTTTTCTCACAGTAGGCACGTACAAACATTTAGCTCTGAACACACATTTGTGTTATTGATATAACAACTGACTTCCACACTGCTTACGTTGCTGCTAATCCTTAGAAAGAAGATCATACTTCAGGAGCACCCATGTGAACTTTTGCTCCATGCAGACGCTTGAACTGAGATACAGCAGGGGAGCACTGCCTACTGACAGCGCTTTACACTAAGTACATTTATTCAAAACTTACCATACAAAATCATCACTATTCACCTGCTGTAAAATGAATTAGGCTAATGAATTCACAATCAAAGCAAATACTGCTGCAGACAGAAATATGCACATACTATCAGTAACCATCTGACAATTACTCTTAACGCTGCATGAAGATAGGAATTCCTGACAGGAAAGAATATATACAAGTGTCATGCTTTACTGTATGTGCCTAAGGTTAAGGAGATTTGATATTGATAATCCACTTCAGAATTGGATTAACTTTACAGAATAACCTCTACAGCCTGTCAGAGGAGTTCGGTGCTCAGTGCAATCAGCAGGACTGCGACAAGGATTCTCCAGCCTGAAG